AAATTGAGGGGATGTCCATCAATTGGGGAATAGTTGAACAAGTTGTTTTATATGAATGTAATGAAATTATATTGTGCTATGGGAAATGATGAGCAGGTGGATTTCAGAAAAACCTGGAAAGACTTACGTGAACTGATGCTGAGTGAAGTGAGCAGAACCAGGAGAATATTGTACACAGTAACAGCAGTGTGTGATGACCAGTTCTGGTAGACTTAGCTCTTCTCAGGAATACAATGACCTAAGACAATTCCAAAAGACTCAAGGTGAAATATGACATCCACATCCAGAAAAAGAACAATGGAGTCTGAATGCAGATTGAAGCACACTATTTTTGCTCTTTTTTTTCTTTCTTGTGGTTTTTCCCTTTTGTTCTGATTCTTCTTTCACAACATGACTAATGTGGAAATATGTTTAATATGATTTTACATGTAAACCCTATGTCAGATTTCATGCCCTATCAAGAGGAGGGAGGAAGAAAAAAAATTGGAACTCAAAATCTTATAAAAGTGAATGCTGAAAACTGAAAAAAAATTAAATGAAAAAAAGGAAACTCTGGTAAAGGGTAAAGGAGAGTTTCCACACTAGGAACTTCCCGTCTCAACAAAATCACAAGTCCAGAAGAGAAGGAGAGAGAGAGAGAAAGAGAGAGGGGGAGAAGGGAGGGGAGGGGAGGAGAGGGGAAGAAAGGAGAAAGAAGTGGAGGGGAGGGGAGATGGGAGAAATAGAGGGAGGGAGAGAGGGAGGGAGGAAGGAAAGAAAGAAAGAAGGAAGAAAGAAAGGAAAGTATGAAGGAAGGAAGGAAGGAAGAAAGGAAGAAAGGAAGGAAGGAAGGAAGGAAGGAAGGAAGGAAGGAAGGAAGGAAGGAAGGAAGGAAGGAAGGAAGGAAGGAAGGAAGGAAGGAAGGAAGGAAGGAAGGAAGGAAGGAAACCAGAGACCATGTAAGGTATAAAAATATTATTAAATGGAGTTAAATAATGCACTGAAGAGAAGAGTGCAACAATAAGAAGGCACAATGATCATGGCACCATATTGAAAATGGCTCTCCCTTTCTACTATCAAACATTGAGCACCTTTACACAGAAACCAATTTCATAAGGTTATTTGTACATAACAATTCTTCCAAATATCAAAGCCTTCATTTAGTTTAGTGACCAAGTCTTTACACCCATGGTCTCCAAATTTTTTTTTATTTCACAACCTTATCAGTAAAACATTTTTAGCATATACTCCCAACACAAGTGCATTTACTTTTTCATAAATTATTTGTCTGTATTTATGTATTAATAATTACATACATTATAAAACTTGCACAAATAGAAATTTTAAAAAGATGAGATAAAAATGATAGAATATTTAATCCCAGAGCTAATTGGAGCCAACAAAGTTTGTTGAATTGAGGAGCAACATGGTCAAATCAGCACTGAAATAAAATCACTTTGGCAGCTATATGGAGGATGGATTGGAGTGGAGAAAGACCAATAGGAAGGCTATTGCAATTGTCCAGGGAAGAAGTAATGGGGACCTGAAAGAGTGTGTGGAGAATAAATGTGTGAATGGAGAAAAGCAGACACCATGGGAAAGATGTGGAAGTAGAAACAAGAAGATCTGACAATTGATTGGATATTTGGGGTGAGGGACAGTGAGGGACTGATGATATGAAGGTTATGCCCAACATGACAGTAAAAATGATAATCTGGCTAACTGAAAGGATTGCAATAGTAATTGAAAAGTCTGCAAGAAGGGTGGATTTGGGGAAAAAGCTGTTGGAATGAGATCCAAGATCTGTTGCGACCCGTTACTGCTCATCTGGGGAGACTCACTTTCTGACCCAAACCCAAAAAGGGGAGAAGAATGGTCTATTATCTGTCACTGGACAGGAGCAAAGAATTAGCCCCCAGTAGGGTGTTGACAGCAGCCAGCCATAAGGTGATCTGGAGGAAAAGGGTGGCTATGGCGGGAGGGGGTAGAGGAGAAATTTACCTAATAGATACCTGTGCAGCTGCTACTAGAAGTGCCTGGGTGGCAGTTGGGTTATAATTGCTCTAAGAAGCAAAAGCTCAGCTTGGAAGGGGGGAGCTTGGTAGCTTTCACAGCAAAGGGAAAGGGCAGAGTAGGGGGGATCTTGAGAGATAAGCATAAGTGTGGTTGTGTTGGTGCTCTAAATTGGCTATGGCACAGGGGATAAGATGCAACTCATATTCCCACCCTGCTTAGCTCATCACATATTCCTTGGGATCATGTCAGTGACCCCTCATGGTCAGGCAGTGTTCTGGCATGGGGCCTCAGCCCCTACTTTAAACGCTGCAGTTAATGATTACTCATGACATCCACACATCAGCTTCACATGACACTGACATGTCCCAGGAATTAAAGAAATAAAAGGCTAATATTACTGACCTAATTTAACCCAAGAAGAAGGAAAATTCAATGTGCTGTACCTTTTAGATCCAATTAGATGAATGATTTTTAAAAATGGGCTCAATATCACGAGTAAGGATCCATGGTTAAGCAAGAAAACCATTTTGCTCTGATGAATCACATCTTAGCACCCATCTTTCCAAAACAAAGCTGATCACACATCCATAGTGGTCACATTTTGACTATACCCAGGCTAAACTTTTCTCCACATCCCTTAGGCTTCGAAGCACTGACTCTTAGAATGTCAGAGATATGAGAGGACCATAGAGATCATCTAAGCCTTCTGATACTCGTAAACTAGAATGTTTCCTTTTGGCCGTGGAATGTAATTTCCTCAAGGGCTGGGATTATTTCATTTTTGTCTTTGTACTCCCCAGCACCTAGCAAGTTGGGTGCTGCCTTGCACATCTTGGGGACTTAATAAATGCTTGCTGCTTTATTGAATCAGCTGGCAATTTCTAGTTCCCTGGAGTTGTGAAGTCTGGTCACCCTCAGGGACTTTGGTGTAAGATACATAATTATGTTACACTAGTTCTTAATGAGTCACCTCTCCAGGTGTATGCCTGCCTAGCTCTTCCACAGATCCCTCTACGTAAAGGCTCTTAAAGAGAAAAGATTAATAAGTCCCAAACCAGATCATTTAAACTTTTATTGAGACTTTTATGAAATTAACTTTTCTTCTATTGGCTTTCTGAAAAGTTAATTTACCAGTCGGTGTCCCTGGTATCCCCCTTCCAAAACTCTAAGTTTCAGATCTTCATTTATAGAAAAAAAACCCCACCCACAACTTCCTACACTGATGAGATCATAGATATCACACACACACACACACACACACACACACACACACACATCTTAGATATTTTAGTAGTTAAATAAACATTCTTTGCCCGCTCCCCCAACAAAGAAGAAAAAAAGCAGATATAGACAATATTTGTCATATCAATGTCTCCCTTGGACTTGTAATTTTCAGGGAGGAAGGGAGTGGAATCATCAGTGTATGGAATGCCCATTTTGGAAACTCTCTTCCCGGATGCAGATCATCAAGTTCTCTGTTACTTAGAATTTTGAGGGGTTTCCTAGGGGCAAGGAGAGGTTAAGTAATGATAATAATAATAATAATAATAAATAGCATTTATTTAGTGCTTTAACATTTGTAAAGCACTTTACAATATTATCTCATTTAATCCTTACAACAACCTTGGAAAGCAAGTACAATTATCATCCCTATTTTAGAGATGAGGAAACTGAGGCAAACAGAGGTTAAGTGACTTGCCTAAGGTCACACAGCTAGTGAGAGTCTGGGGTCAGATTTGAACTTGGGTCTTGCTGATTCCAAGTCCAGTACTCTATCTACTATACCTCCTACCTGCCTAGTATATGATATGATATAATATGCTAATATAACATAATAATTTGATACGGCAAAATATCATGATATAATATAACATAACTATTATTTCTATAGCACTTTAAAGTTTGTAAAGCACTTTAAAAATCTTGTTGTGTTCTTGTTCAGTCATTCAGTCACGTCCAACTCTTGTTGACTCCAGGGACCATAGCATGCCAATATTTTTTTTTTAAATTTTTAGGCAGTTGGGGTTAAGAGACTTGCCCAGGGTCACACAGCTAGTAAGTGTCAAGTGTTTGGTCTGAGGCCGGATTTGAACTCAAGTCCTCCTGACTTCAGGGATGGTGCTCTATCCACTGCACCACCTAGCTGCCCCCATAGCATGTCAATATTGTCCATGGGGCTTTCCTGGCAAAGATTTTGGAATGGTTTGCTATTTCCTTCTCCAGTAAATATCCCATTAGATCCTCACAACAACCCTATGTGAAGATGCTATTATTATCCCCATTTAACAGATAAGGAAAGAGGCTGTGTCTTGCTCATGGTTACACAGCTATAATGTATCAGTCAGGACTTTAACCCAAGTTTTCCTGCAAGACTGGCCTGCTTTCTACTATACCATACTGGGGTAAGGCCATTCCTGAGTTTTTAACTGACAGTGACAAATCACAACCTCAAGACTCCAACCCCGCCCCTCACTCCCAGGACTTCTCTTATAACCTTATCTTGTTGGCTAAAATAGGATGTGCCCTATTTTAGAGAAGAGGATGTGGGGTCCTAGTGGCACTGGTTCATTCAGAAATATCTATTAACCATAGTGGATATACTCATAGTAAATTTTAAAGGGTTAATGTTGAATAATAGTAACCACCTCTGAAGGTAAAACAGCACCGCACCCCACCCGCACCCCATTAGCAAAGGCCAGATCCTGTTTGCTCTGGCACTGTGCATCCAGTGAACTCTAATAGACACTGATGATGATGATGATAATGATAATGTTGATGTTGATGATGATGATGAATCCTAATTATAAACCAAATATAATCAACTTTCAAAGCTTTCTGAAAAATTTGATTAACAGCTCTATTGGTGTCTCAAAAGCAAACTGTTTAAGACCAAAATAAGGAAGAGCTATTAAACACTGTGTAAGTAACAGCTGAGAAAGCCATATAAAAGGTATAACAAGCAAGGAGACACTTAAATTTGAGAACCTTCTCTTTGCCAGAAACTTCCTGACACCATGGCCTTCTGCAACACCTGCTCCACCAGCTTCTGTGGCTTCCCCAGCTGCTCTACTCGGGGAAACTGTGGGTCTAGCTGCTGCCAAGACAGCTGTGGGGCCAGCAGCTGCCAACAGGGAGGCTGTGGCATCGGCTCTGGGATAGGCTCTGGGTCCAACTGTGAGACCACCTGCAGGACCAGGTGTTACGTTCCCGAGTGCTGTGGAGGAGAGAGCTGCTGTACCAGGTGGTACCGCCCAGACTGTAGGGTTGAGGGTACTTGCCTGCCACCTTGCTGCATGGTCAGCTGCACTCCCCCATCTTGCTGTCAGCTGCACCAGGCCCAGGCCTCTTGCTGCCGCCCATCCTACTGTGGCCAGTCTGGCTGCCATCCAGCCTGCTGCTGCTACTGCTGTAAGCCCACTACCTGCTGTGAGCCTACCTGTTAAAAAAAAAAAAAAAAAACAGGAAGTCAACTCCATGGGGAACACCGTATGTTTGAATTGATCACCTTCTCACTCAATGCTGTAATTTTTGATTCTTTGTCCCAGAGCTCCCAAGAAGATTGCTTTAGACTACATGACAGAGGTCAGCTTTTATTCCCCAAAGACAAAAAAAATTGGATATAGCCCAGGATACAGAAAAAGAAGGTCTGTGTGTGATACAAGAGGTTGAAGGTTGCTGTTGCAACCTGACAATTTAGGTTTAAATCTTGCTTTAGTCCCTTAGTGGCTGTATGACTGACTTCATTTCTCTGACCCTCAGTTTTATCTTCTATAAAAGGAATGGGATGGCCTCTGAGGCCTCCACCTCTATCTCTAGCTCTGTGATTCTATGGTCTTTTTAACAAAAACTCTTTACTGCTCACCAACATCCCCTTCCTGAGGATACCACAGTCAATTTCTTCTTTTCAGAGGTATCTATCTTCAGAATATCTCTTCCATCTCACTGTTCCTCCTCTGGACTATCAAATCTCACTTTACCTTGAAAAGAAGATAAAATAATCCAGTCAAAATAAATTATATAATTTCTGGCAGATAATTTTTTTTCCTTTTTTCTCATTGTTTAATGGACATTAGAAGTAGATTTCATGGGAAACTAGATTCAATCCGACAAATATTCCTTATGCATCTAATGTATACATACAAAATGTGGGTGATATGTGGGACTCTGACCCAGGGCTTACCAGCTCCAAGACCAGTTCTCTTACCCACTGTGCCACAGGTACTTCTCAGAGGCAAAGAACGATGACCTATTCCAAACTCTCTGGATGAGCCCCATGATAGAATGTCACTAAATGAATAATGTAAAAAGCTATTCTACATAGCTAATATATGCTAAGGATAGTAAGATGAAATAAGACTAGGTCTCTGACCTCATGGAGCTTACAGTCAGGTGGAGATAAAATGGGGACATGGATTACCCATAGAACAAAATGAAAAGAGAGATGTTGTAGTTATTCGGTCATTTTCAACTCTTCATGGCCCCATTTGTGGTTTTCATGGCAAAGATACTGGCGTTGTTTGCCATTTCTTTCTCTGGTTCATCTTATAAATGAGGAAAAAGAGGCAAACATGCTTAAGTGACTTGTCCATGGTCACACAACTAGTAAGTATCCAAGGACAGATTTAAACTCAGGAATATGAGTCTTCCTGATTCCAGGCCCCATGTTCTATCCACTGTGCCATCTAGAGGCCCACAAAAAGACACAGCTTCATGTAATAGATAGAGGGCTAGAACTAGAGTCAGGAAATGTTTGAATCTCATCTTAGTCACTTTCTAGCAATATTGTTCAGTCATTTCAGTCATGTTTGAATCTTTGTGACCCCATTTAGGGTTTTCTTGGCAAAGATACTGGAATGGTTTGCCATTTCCTTCTCCAGCTCATTTTACAGATTAGGAAACTAAAGCAAAAAGGGTTAAGTGACTTGCCCGGGGTCATACAACTAGTAAGCGTCTGAGGCCAGATTTGAACTCATGAAGATGAATCTTCCTGATTTCAGACCTGGTACTCTATCCACTGCAACAATATAGCCATGGGCACAATCATTTAAGTCTTTTGGCCTCAGTTTCCTCATCTGTAAAACAGGTAATGGTGTCACAGCAGTTATCTCACAGCATTATCATGAGGATTAAATGAGATCATTTAAAAAGGCTTTGCAAACCTTAAGCTACTGTAGAAATGCCATCTATTATTATTTTATTAGTTTTTTTCCCCAAATATTCTCTCCCCATACATTCTCTTTAAAGAAGTAAAAGGATTGGGACTAGTCTTGTGATTTTATGGGTAGAAGAAATTCATAGATGAAGAAACAGCTTCTATCAATAGCAGATCAGATGAAGAAACTTCTTCTGTCAACAGCAAATAAGCATCTTCTCTGCGACTTACAGTGTTAAAAGAGCTGCCTACAGCCCTGAGAGGTCAAATGACTTACTCAGGGATCACACAGCCAGCATGCCTGAGGCAGGACCTGAATCCAAGTCTTGGTTTTTCTAAAGCCAGTTCTCTCTCCACTATGCCACAATTTTCTCTCAAAGAAAATCTAACATAAAAAATTCTAAATTCTCTAGTTTATCGCCTTGTTAGAATATTAGTAAATGACCACGGTAAAAAATGATTGTATTAGTATCTTGCCATATAACTCAAGGAGGTCAGAAATAGAAAGATCCCATCTACACCAAAATATTTATAGTAGCATTTTTTTTTGTGTAGTTTAAATAATTAGAAATAAAGTAAATGTCAATTGATAAGGAATGGTCAGAAAATGTGATATATGGATATAATGAAATATTACCGGGCCATAAGAAACAATAATAAAAGTAGTACAGAAAAGCATAGGAAAGTATGCATTGATGCAAATTGAAGTAAATAGAACCAGGAAGACATTATACAGTGTGCTCCTAAAACTTAAAACTGCACTAAAACTTATGGAACACCCTGTACATAATGACTTTAGCAATGCAAATGGGAACAACAAAGTACAACAACATAAAACTGAATGTGGGAGGAGGAAAGAGCACCTGGGTTTGAATTCTACCTTGGATACTTACTACCTGCATTACTTTGATTAAATCACTTAATCTCCCTGGGTCTCAGTTTCCTCATCTGTAAAATGAAAGGGTTGGACTATATGACCTTACAGGTTCCTTTCTTAGCTCCAAGATGTAGACAATCCTGAAGCTCTGTAGATTTTTAGTTAAGTATCAAGTTGGAGTGCAAAGAAGAAAGGAGAAAATATACCTCTCTCCCTTCCTTGCAGAAGTGAGAGACTATGGGTGTGGAACATAGCATACACCGTTAGACTTGGTTGATAATGGCTATTATTTTATTTTAATTTTTTTTTTTACTAAACTGCTCTCTCTCTCTCTTTCCCTGGGGAGGGGAGCAAGGAGAGAGATATTTAGAAATAAAAATGATATTTTAAAAAATCAATAAATTAAAAAAAAACATTTGTACTTTGCATATTGTGGGCATTCAATAATATTTATTGAGTTAAGAAGTATTTCTCTTATGCCTCACCACCTCAGCTTCTTTAGAAGACAGTGTCAATGGAACACAAGCTCAGGCAGGTTTGATTAAACTATAAAGACATTGAGTATGGTCTTCTAGGCCAAAGACTGTGTTTGCTGCTTTAGGTTCAGTCAAGTGCAGCAAGGCTCAGCAGCAGCAGGCTATCTATTGGATGATAGATTATTTTTAATTAGATTTTATTGATCACATTGCACTTTATATTGCCTGCATTTCCTTTTGTATCCCTCCCTCTACATTTCTAGAGAACCATCTCTTATAATGGTTCTCCCCCCCCAAAAAAAAAGAGTAAGAGGAAAAGAAAAAAAATTACCAAAATCAAACAATGCATGGGTGATAAATTATTTTTTTCATGGCATCCACATTCTGGACCAATTAGCAAGATCATTGAGCTACACCATTTCCAGTAGTCTCTAAAGCAAATCTCAAATCGATTTCCCAATGTCACAGGGAAGGTAGGTTTGTTAAAGGATTGGTCTGTACTTTTTTTTACTTCTCCAGGAGAGGGAGAAAAAGCGAATAATATCAGCTTTTTCAAAGAAAAGTGATTGAAAGGTGTAAACAGAAGTTCATATTTGATTTTTGTCTTAGGAAGAAGAACAAGGGTAGTATAAGGGAGACCACTCAGTACAAAAGAACTCACTCTTGGGAAGTTAGTATAAACAGCATGTCTATTCCTCTAAAATGATAGATGTCATTGCTTTTTTAAAAATGTATTAATTCATTTTTAGCATTCATTTTCAAAAAATAATTAAGTTCTAAATTCTTTTCCTCCCTCCTAACCCTTCCCCACCCATTGAGAGGGAAAGAAATGTGATATCAATTAAACATGCGAAATCATGCAAAACTTATTTCCATGTTAGCCATATTAAAAAAAAAACAACAACAACAACAATAAGGTGAAAAAAAACATGCTTCAATCTGCATTCAGATTCCATCAGTTCTTTCTCTGGAAGTATATAGCATTTTTCATCATAAGTCCTTCAGAATTGTCTTGGATCATTGTATTGCTGAGAACAGCTAAGTCATTCACAGTTGCTCATCATACAATATTATTGTTACTATGTACAATATTCTCTGGTTCTGCTCACTTCACTTTGCATCAGTTCACATAAATCTTTCCAGGTTATTCTGAAAGTATCCTGTTCATCATTTCTTAATACAAAATAGTATTCCATCGTAATCATATACCCAATTTCAGCCATTCCTGAATTGATAGGCTTCCCCTCAATTTCCAATTGTTTGCCACCACAAAAAGAGCTGCTATAAATATTTTTGTACCTATACGTCCTTTTCCTTATTTAAATAAATTGCTAGAATACAAACTTAGTAGTGCCATTGCTGGATCAAGGGTATGAACTTTTATAGCCTTTTGGGCATAGTTCCAAATTGTTCTCCAGAAGAGCTGGATCAGGTCACAACTCTACCAACAATGCATTAGTGTGCCAATTTTCCCACATCTACTCCAACATTTGTTATTTTCCTTTTCTGTTATATGAGCCAATCTGGTAAGTATGAGATGTTACTTCAGAGTTGTTTTAATTCGCATTTCTCTAATCAACTGTAATTTGAATCATTTTTTCATGTAATTATAGATAGTTTTGCTTTCTTCATCTGAAAAATGCCTGTTCGTATCCTTTGACCATTTATCACTTGAGGAGTGACTCATATTCTTATAAATTTGACTCAGTTCTCTATATATTTGAGAGATGAGACCTTTATCAGAGAAATTTACTGTAAAATGTTTCCCAGTTTTCTGCTTTCCTTCTAATTTTGGTCACATTGGTTTTTCTTGTGCAAAAGCTTTTAATTTAATATAACCAAAATTATCCATTTTATATCCCATAATGCTCTATACCTCTAGTTTGGTCATAAATTCTTCCTTTCTCCATAGATCTGACAGGTAAACTACTCCATGTTCCCCTAATTTACTTAT